ATCACCTCCAATGTTATCGGTTCAGACTGGAATATAAACTGAGCACCTCCGAGCGTTTGGAATTGAAACTAAATATTGAAAAATTAGAATAATTTCGGAAGCAATTCAAATTAAATTCTCTGAACAGCTTTAAACAGATCTGAACATGTATGCCACGTTCCGTTTTCGAACTGTATATTTTATTCTTGTTTTAAATTTATTTCGTGGTATATCCATCCGTTCAGAAAGCATAAAATTTATTATTTTCTCGAAACCAGTCAAAATCGAAAATAGCTACAGGTTGTCCTAGTTTCTAGAATTACCCTTACGTAATATAAAAATTGTGGGACAGTTACATTAAGTATTATCTTAACGAGATACGAGCCCACGGACTATGAAATGCATCTCATTTCCATATGGGTGCAGTCGTTTCGCAATCAGTCGAGAAAGTAAGATTTTAATTCGACTAAATGTTTCGAATGATTTTACACGCGTTAGCATCTCTCGGTCTAATCTTATTTATTTATTTTAGTATTCTAATGGAACTTTTATCTTGGAAGTAAGCTGTCAGTGCTTTAATAATAATAAAGCAACTTTTTATATAAACGTGATTTTTAATAAACGTGTGTAATCTATCGCGATAGTTGACTTTCATAGTTCACGCGATGCAAATGGTTTCGTATCGGTTCCAAGTTGTAAATATTTCGAATTCCATTAAAACGCGTGCAAGAAAACGTGAATCCGAACGAAAGACAATTGTACTGTTTTGCGTGCAGTCTACCGTTTACCGTACCAAGTCATTGTACTCGTATGCACTAATCGTTATTACGTATGCACATTGCATTAAGGCAGGTCGCTGATGCACGCCAAGGAACTACTTTTGCGCAAGAAACAACTCCCTACTGATTCCGGCTGTTTATACCGCGTAACATTGTTCTTTGAAAGTGAAACGTTTCGCGTCGACGCTTCACAAAATCTTCCAGACAGATATTTTGTACGAGCTGTTACTCGTGTAATCTTATATCGCGTGTAAATAATAAAGCGTAATTTTATATCGAATATAAATGTATTATCACACGCTTCGTTTAAGTAATGATTTGGTTGCAATTCTTTCCGAGATGATTCAGCGATCGTGCAAATTGGAATCAAACATATTTAACAAATATTTCAACGAACGCGTATGAAATCTTTCAATTTGTTTATATTGCAACGTTTCGCGTAAGCACTTTTCATCCGAAAGCTAAGAAAAAATTCACGTGCAAATGGTGGCTGCACGTGCGATGGCCGATCGTCCTTCGAAACCAAGTCCTAGCAGCAGTCTCCCGGAGTGACTCACCCGAGAAACAACAGGAACGATCGATCGTACGGCTATTTACGTCGCCGCGGCTCGATCATTACAATCGACTGCCTTATCTGGCATTTTTATATCGACAATCGTTTAATTTATTCGCGTGAAAAATTAAACCAACGATACCGTTTCCTCGGACAATGTAACTTCATCGAATATCGAAGTATTATTCAACCAACCGATTTCTCCAAACGTTATAATTATGTAACTAAGTAAATCGATCCAGCTCTCTGGTTTTCTCGGGAGTTTCACCGCCTTCGCGAATCTCAAATATGTAACCTGCATTAATTACAAAACATACTATGGTCGATTCTTTGAAATCAATTTCAATAATCGTAATTTATCAAAATATTAATATCGTCCTCCGAAGGAGAATAATTATAATTTTGTTGTATTCAGCCGTATACTCGAGCTATTTGTCATTTCCAAAGAAACAAATCTTCCTCTAATCATTATCTTGGACAAACACGAATAGAAAACAACGTTGCATTTTTGAGATTTTAGTTTAATTTAGCTGCACGTTCCCGTGTATCGTGATTGGTCGCGAGTCATTGCCCTCTCGGCGTCAACGATCGCTATCGTTGATGTACTTTTTGCGATATTCGTCCAGCGACCGAGTAATGCGATACCGGCGGCTGCTTTGCAGATTGAAACGAGCTAATCTTTGTGCGGGCACGGTGCAATTTTGCATCACGCGCTACCTGAGCTCTAGACAGTCCGCTCGACGATTTTTATGGTATGCAATCGTTACTTCTGCGCACAGTGACAGCCAACCGCTCGAGACCGCTTCATACTTTACGAAACAAACGAGATCGACGATACATAAATTTCATTACTCGCATGTTAAACTCAGGATACATATTAGAAATTGCGCGACGCACTACTATCAGTTCTTTGTTTTCAATTTATACAAAATTAATATTTCATTGCAATCTCCAACAACTACTTCAAACCAATCGGTTTAGTCAGTGGAAAGCATTGGAAAATAAGGGGCATTGATTTTTGATTGATGGAAAGCGTATCTAAAACAGCGTTGTGGAATTTATTTTTGACTCGGTTAATAATAATTGAAGACCTTTGAATATTTTCTTAGATAGCTAGATCCTTTAAATAGATTTGCAACCCATGAGTGACAAGGTTAATCAATTTTTAAGCGAGCAAGTATGCAGGGTGCTCGGCCCTTGGCGAAGGTAACCTGTAAAAAATTTTAATGGGAGATTCTAGAGGCCAAAATATGACGAAAATTAAGAATACTAATTTGTTGATGCAGGTTTCGTTAAAAAGTTATTAACATTTACAGTTCCGCCTGTACTGAATTTTTTTCTAGAAAGTGGGAAGGATTTCGGGGGTATGTCTAATGACCAAAAATGATTGTAATTGATCCCCGTAACCGAAAATAATTTTTCCAGAACGATTTGAAATTTTTTAATTTTGTCGAAAAATTTCACACCTTCTCGAATTTTTTTCTCGTAAGTGGATAAGATTTCGAGGGTATGTCTAATGACCAAAAATGATTGTAATTGATCACCGTAACCGAAAATAATTTTTTCAGAATGATTTGAAACTTCCCAATTTCACCGATTTTCTGCACCTACCCCCCCTATCGATTTTTCTTAAAAATTTGTCTTTCACTTTTCATGAATTTGTTTGACGCTCTACAGAAAAGTTGTCTAATACTTTTTTATAGATACCCAACAGCTCTGCTTCGCAAATAAATTTCAATGAGATACCTTTTCTATTGTAGGAGTTATGACCGTTTGAGAATTAGACCAATTTTAGGAGGTTTTTCTAATTTCATGGTGTTAAAGAACAACTTTTTCAATATTGTTAGAATTTCTACATATTCTCCACTAAAATACGCGTTGTTTGCTTTTTGAAAAATTAAAATCCTCCAATTCGTTCAGGAGTTATGATATTTTAAAGATTCGCATGAAATTTCAGGGAAGCATCACATTAGATTTTCAGTAAACAATTTTTTTCTCGAAAGTGCGTAGGATTCCGGGGTATGTCTATTCACCAAAAATGCTTGTAATTGATCCCTATAACTAAATATAATTTTTTTAGTATGATTTGAAATATTTTAATTTCGTCTAAAAATTTCAGTACCTGCTCGAATTTTTTTCTCGAAAGTGGGTAGGATTTCAGGGGTATGTCTATTCACCAAAAATGCTTGTAATTGATCCCTATAACTAAATATAATTTTTTTAGTATGATTTGAAATTTTTTAATAACTTTTTAATGAAGCCTCAGTCAAGGAATCGATATTCTTGATTTTCGTCTTATTTTAGCCACTAGAATCTCCCATTAAAATTTTTCCCAGGGGTTGGCCGAACACCCTTTATAGTTAAGGACCTTTTATCACGACTCTCGGAATTTTCAAAACTCAATTATAAGATGACGTTACAAAATTTATAAAATGTAAATTGTTAATCGAACTATGATAGCAGTTTTAAGTAGCTGATCGCCACTGTGCAGGTATCATTATGTATTACTACCCATTTTCCTTGACACATTCAAGCCGATAACCAGCCACGACCGATGTAAATACGATCCACGGATATTAATATTAATAGATCTGTTCCAACCTGCTTTTTCTCGGTCAAAACTTTTTACTTGAAAGTGCATGTACACTACCGTTCAAAATATTAAGTACATGTTAACCAGGGCGCGTTATCGATGGAGAGAAACTCTTAGAAACATCGTCCGCCGACGAGATAAATGCATACATAAATCAAATTATCGTTAAGAAGCCATTACGCGTTGAAATACTGTAACGAACGTACGCGCGAGATCCGAGTTTACGTGTTAAATATTTTAACCCTAATCTTACTAGGATGCGACCATGGGTCATGGGTCCTGGGCTTGAGAAATAAATAAATTTATATAGCAATGACATTTTACATATTGTATAACTTAAAAATTACACAAAATTTCACTAATATATCGCTCACAAATTATATTTAAAATTGTTTCGCGCGTAGCGTGAAAATTTACCCGTCATTCCGTTGAAAATAAAATACACGTTCCTGTTACGTACCTCTGCCTTCTACTTCATCATATCGTATGACATTAAATTTTAATTGTATGTTATTTAAAATTCATTTTCGTTTTCCCTCTCTAAAGCGATGCTAGAAAAACAGCCGACCGGAAACTTTTTGCACGCTATTTTTATCTACGCAGGAAAATATTAATTTCCTCTGTGGCGAGGAAAAGTTTTGATTCTGTGATGAAGAAAACGTAATTATTTCAAGGAACGTGACAAAAATAATACTAGACTTTGCCTTCTTTTCTTTTGAACTTAACCACGTGTTCCCAAGCGAATAAAAAATTATAAAAATGCATTTAAAATTGAAACGAGATGCCTGAAAGGCGCGTACGTATATTCGAATAAAAGATAATTTTAAACAGTTTTTAATTAAACGGTACAGTCTACGCGGTGCAACGAACAAAAGTTTCGATCGGAACGAGCAAAATATTTATCATTCATTCCCGACAACGCACTTAGTCACGATCCTAAGAGAAATCGCTAAAGAATGATTTACAGGATTGAAAATCCGTAGACTGCCGGAGAGACAGTGACGTGCCAAGAGTGGGGAGCACCAGCTGACTGCCTCTCGGTGAAACTGTCTCGTCGTTTGCTGCACGCCGTTGCTTTGACAGTGTTGTATCAACCTCCGGGAGAGTAAAGTCGTGTTCTCCCGCTTCATTAATCCACTCCTCTTTGTCAGAAGAAATACACACCGAAGTCCACTCGCTGTTTAAGTACAGGTTTCCGTACGAAAACTTTCGCGAGGTCTGTTCCCGATCGAATATCGTACTCGTTTGGAAACTTTCAAAATCGAGAAAGAGTCGAACGATTCGACAAAGGGAAGTATCGAAGTTTGCTAACCATCGAAATTCCAAGGACAGCGCCGTTAAAGGGCGGTAAAACAAATAGAACGCGTACGACAGTCACAACGGAGTCTTTATTGGGACATTCTACGAATTTGTGCGGCGTGTTGTGAGTGATAAAGCTTATCGTACCGCGGCAACCTGAGACCTTTCGTGTCAGCGAGGAGCAGATCGCTTTCTTTTTTCAAAAAGAGTGTCTCGGCGAAGGGTTGGTTCTTCCTGGATAACCGGAAGCGGGCATTTTAACGAACGAAGGGAGAACAATGTCGACACTTCAGAGCAACTTCCCTTGAAGCTCTCTCACGTTCCCGAAGATAATAATTCGGTCGTTGAGTCATGCTCCGCCTGCTTGCTCTTCGTCAAAAGGTAAATAACCCTTTTTTTTTTTGGCCAGCTATGTTTATAAAGAGTCGAGAGCAAGAAGCTCGCGAAGACACTCGTATTGCAAAACCGATTGCACGAACCACGGAAGATAACGAACATTTTAAACTTTGCTTTTAGAACGATTCAAAGTTAATTCGCGAAACGATGTTATATCGTGGATGCTACGAATATCACTTTCATAAAAGTTGCACAGAAAACTTTACGGGAATTAATTGCGTAAAGCGAAAGGCTAGGAAAGAAAATATGATTTGCAATTGCAAAATTATGTGCAGATTTCCTTCCCTAAACATTTATATCGGCAAATGCAGACTCAGATACTTTATCGATCAATCGTAAACATTGATATTACTGCATACGATAACATGTGTGATATTGGGAAAAAGATAGGCGAGGAATGTGAATTAATTGTGTATTTTATTATAGGTGTGCTTGAGAATATTATCAAGTACAGATTTTACGAAGTGGAATTTGAATATAGGATGGATCAACTAAAATTTTGATTATCGTCTACCCTCTAATATACGTCATCTTAATCGACCTGACACTCTATCTTGAGAAATATTGAAATTTGAATACTCGTCTTCTCCATATAATATTTGCACAGTGTCGCTGCGATATTAAACCATTATACAGGCTATATTATATGCAGTATATCCTGAGAAATTATCGCGGGCATGACAACTTTTCGGACAGATAGGTAAAATTCGCTATTATCTCTCTGGCTAGCTCGCCTTTGTTTACCTCGAAAACGAGAGTGAGATACACTGAAAGCGAACGAGAGACGTTTACCCGGTGCAACTAGTTCCAGCAAATAGTGGGGTAACTTAATGACAACCTTTCAGGAACTATCAAACTTTAAATTTTCTTTTTCTGAGGTTGCAAGTAGCCTTTAATATATAACAATTCTTTTTTTGTAAAAATGGATACCGGAAAATAAATACGTCTAAACCAAGTTTTTCAAACGCGTTCGAACGTTCAAATTGCACTACTTATTAATATGAAGCTTTAATTAGTACGCTATGGAAGGTAAACTTGCAGGTCACAAGAGCAAACTTTGAGCAAATATAATATATTAATCCGACGTTTCAGTTTACGTTGAAAACTTTCTTCGAGAATGCATGATTCAAAATTTAACACAATATTAAGCATTGTACGTTGCTTCATTTTAGATAAGATCTCTTTATCTAAGAAATATGTCTTTTGTGAGCAGAATGACCCGAGAAAAATGCAATTGCACTTTGCAACCGGTAAGAAACTCGTATTACACGATGGCAGAGGTCACTAAACCATATAAAATTTTCCTCTATAGCGTTCTGTGTCTTCATTTAGAACAGAGCTATAGCCTGGCCCAGTTACTAGAATTATCTTGAATACGTACACCTAATAATATGGGTAGTTTAAGCTTGAAAAGCTTTCGGAACACGTTGAATCAGTAAACATTCGTTCAGAGTTAACGGCCAATAGATTATTTTCAGAAGCTTATCAATGAAAATAGTTAAACGTTCTCATGAAATATCCATAAGAACGTTAGCAAGCAGTTTCGTAAAGGAGATGCAGACGTAACGGAGCTCGGGCAAAATGTTTGTTTTCGCTAAATTACGTATGAATTAATCTGTCGCGCGAGTGCACTCGCGCGGGCGTGCAATTCATTTCCGCGTGCAACTCAAGTGCGTATCAGGCCTTCAAAGAGACGAGGAGAGCCATTGCCGAAGAACCGAGAGAGAAATCTCTACGCCAGATGCACACGGTGCTGCTTTCACGTTGAAAACTTTTTATTGACTGACAAAGGAAACCGCGAAACTCGAGGCGAGCATAATAATTCGCGCGAGGCTGTGTGACGGCTCAATTTCATTCTCCGTTCTCCGTAATACCGATTTACCAGACGATTTTCCTCTTCAGTTTCCCGCCAGGGAGCTGCAAGATAAATTTATGAATTTTTTAAGAGGCAGGAAATTCGTTCCTCGGCACGCATCGTTGCCGACTATTTTTAATTACGACCAAGGACCCCGGCGTTTCCTTGAAAGTTTTCGTTTCTTTTTCGTATTTAAAGAATCGTTTGGTTTTAGTAACAACGAATTTGCTTGGATAAACGTTAATTTAATTTGTGCACCGACGATATCTCTTGTTACAAATTTACCACGATAATTTGTTCCAAATTTCTCGTTTATAATTTTGATGTTTCGATGCAGTCTACTTTGCCCAAAGAGAATTTTAGTTATTTCTAATTATCGAAGCGCGGAATATTCAGAGAAACGTTGGAAACGAATGTGGGGATCGAATAGATGCGCCAACAGCGCGCGACCCCGCTTTTCCTCGCGTTTTACTATTAATTGGTTCGTTTCAAATTATTATATATTTCATCGATAATCGATAATGAATATACGCGATCGGAGGGACCGAAAATATTATGTGTTTATAGAGCTTGCATGGACCGTAGAGAAATAAAAATACAGCGATTAAAAAATTATTTGAAATGCACTCTTAACTGAGTAGTATTCTCAGGATCGTTTTTAAGAATCCTGTATTAATTAACTCCGATATTTGTCATACGAAGCACATAAAACGATGTTAGGATACACGAGGGTAAAAGGGTAAAAATAATGAAAGGAATACTGTTTTTATCGTATACCTTATTGAGTTTCGAATATCGAACTAATCTCAAAGGGTGTGCGCTCTCTTTTTTTATCCCGTTCGCTATGAATCCACGGGCAGCGATACGTTATTAAATTATCGGGCCGCATTACTTGTGATCATGCCAGTCCTATCTATCGACCAATTAGCAACTAGGTCGCCCGCTCGTTTGTGGGGAACGAAAAAGGGAACCCGTGAATCAATCGTCGACGAAGAATTTGAACGATCTATCGATCCCCCGCGGTCCCGTTCGAAATTGAATTTATCGCAGCGAAAACTTAATTTACAAACACGCGTTCCTGCGTTTGATTAAACTATGTCGTTGCTTTTATTTTACGCGTCGGTTCGTACTAAGGCCAGCGTTTCAATTTTCTAAAAAAAGAAAAATTTTAAGTCTTTGTTGAAACCAGTTACACGACTACCGTCGTACGTTCGATGAATTATAAGTGGATGGTCGATTTTAAAAGAAATTTTGCTCAAATTACCTGTCGGGCTACTACCAGAATCTGAAGCGCGGTGAAAAAAATGTAATAGAATTTCTGCTAATTGCACCAGTGTCGCCGCTGAAATCGATTTTGCACCGTGCTACAAATATTCTTTTTTAAACCAATACTATCTTTTTTTTATGTAATATAAAACGTGGATGTTTGCACCGTGTTTAGCAGTAGATTGTAAATTTTTCTAATAAAATTTTATCAAGCGTCCGAAAGTACCCTTCTGGATTTGTAGCAATCTCGTGATAAGTTTGTGTTATTTCAGACTTTGAATAAATGTCTTTCGATGAAAATACGAAATAAACGCGGTATAAATAATCGATGAGAATTAGATGAGTTATCGGGGCGAATATAATGGAAATAACTGGGGGAGAGCGAATGGGATGACTGATTGGTGATGGATGATCGGTGTTGACGAATGACTAGCTGTACCTGCGACAGTGCGTGATAGTGCGTGGGCGATAATAAGCAGACAAGCACGCGGCTCGCACTCTGATCGGCAACTCTGTCAGGCGACAGTATTTTTACTGGAGCATACTCCGTTTTATCGATAAATACTTCCCGTGAATCGACAGAAATATTTTGAGAAATTACAAAACGAATATAGTAGAATACGTATAAAATTTACTCGACTCCGTGGAATAGCTTTTGACGCGGAACAGAACATTTCCGAATCTTCTGTCTGCACGAAGTCAGAACGAAGGACGCACCGAACAGAAAATAGGTATTGATTTTGACTGTGTAATAAAGTTGCCTGCATTCATTTACGAGATAACTACGGAGAATTCCATCGATCGGATTCCATTGGGTTGTTGGCTGTACCAAGTAGAAATTGATTCATGGAACGGTACTACGTGCATATCCGCGCATTCCAATAATAACCTGATTCGACACAGGACTTATTAATGTAGAAAAATTTTTACGTCATTCATTCGATCCGTTGAACGCTCGAACGGACAAGAAACATCAAATTTTTACGTTTGTATTACTTTCTATGCAATACGATCCACCGTGACGCGGATCTTATGATTAATTTAGATGTATTAATATGTAGAAGACGTTCTCAGTAATAAAAATACGATATTGTCGGTGAAACAGGTACAATGAATTACTCGCGGCACGCTCGAGTGATATAAAGTGGGATCCACGAGGATACTGTTAAATGTATTTCTTTCTACTTGATACAGAGTGACGGTCACGAGGGGAAAACCAGAGGCAGAGACACAGATTTTTAACGAATCAGACCTCGAATCGTAGATCTCGATCGATTATTAAAAATACACCATCGTTTGGGAATTAACTTCTCTCATTTTCGTGGTAAATTGTATGAAATATCCAGGCCCCAATAATTCAGTTTTTTTTGCCACGAGAGTCTATTCTTCTGATTTACAAATTATCGTTCGGCGTTCAGGACTCCGAAATCTCTGTTTTCAGCTTCATTTATCTCGCAAAATGAGTGACCGTATACGCCCAAAAGAGAAGCGTATCTTAAGCAGCTTATCGAGACTCACAGTTTGAGGTATGGCTCGTTAAAAGCAGGTTTTCACTTTTGGATACCTCTTAATTAGCAGAATTAGATTCTATTCCAATAAAATCGCGTCTAAATAATTACTAAAATAATCTGTAATACATAATGGTTGTAACAAGCTTTCGTTCTATTAAATCTCTATCTTCCAAGCTTTTATCCAATAAATATTCGTGATTTACGAAACGCAGAGTTGCTCGTTAACCACATAAAAATGCGGCCGACGCTGCTCTTTAATTAGGTTTCTTTATTCGGGCCCTTAATGTGCCGAAGCACCTATAAAAAATAAACCGAGTTCGAGCGTGGGCTCTTAATTCCAGACACTGAAGCGT